GGTTTGACGATGATGATTGCCAGTAGTTATGATTGAAGATGTTGATGATGCCTCTGATCGATGATCAGAAATCGAAAATATAATTGATAGGTATTATTTGAGCATGGGATTCTTCCATACGGGAGAAGATGTCCGATCACTGAGCCACCATTTCATCTGTAATCTGAGCAGATTCATTTCATGCTTCATCTCAATCAATTGAAGCATTTATGAACTTATGACTTGCAAAACACTTTGAGAGTTGAGTGCACAATTTTGAGCTTGCATGAGGATTAGACTTGTTGAACCAAGTTGATTTGTATACTTTGACTATTTTTAATCACCTCAAGGATTCATTCTTGATCCAAAATTCAAGAATGATTAAATATTGGAAGATTTTTCATACATACCAATTATTCCTATATATTTACATATCTGGCTCCAATACTTCATTGTGTGCGCGCGCACGTGTGTATATCACCTTATCTTGCACGAAAAAGGTGTATTTAACAACTTCAAAATTAAAATAGTTATATTTTTTATGTGATATGAATAGTTTTTGGTGGTGTAAATGTTAAAAAAGTTAAGTTTAGGGGTCACATATGTAAATACACAGAATTAAGTTGTCTGTTAATTCCCCTTTAATGTTATATTTATCAGAAGACAATCAAACATTTTATGTCATATAAACATAATCGTAATTTAAAAATATAATTAAATCTCATGATTTTTTTACAAATTTTATACTGACTGTTGAGATTTTCACAATGAAAATAAAAAATATTCAACATTGTATTAATTCAAAAATAAGACTATAAGTCAATGTTTTAATAGCAGCGTTCCGTGTAGGAGAATTAAATATTGTACTAAAATCCAACACGAGATAGAGATGACACCAGTGATTTTTTTGTGAAAAGTTCGAAAGGGAAAAAAATCAAGAGCCTAGCCCAGTTGAACTAACTTCACTATTTAGATGAATGTTGCAAAATTTTGGCTACCCGGCTAACATAAAATAATATTACAAGAATTTGAAAAAATATTGTGGAAATGACAATGTCCCAACTACGATGATGGAAAATCGATGATAGAGGGTATGTGACAAAGATTTGGATTCATTATCACTTATGGCAGAGGTTGTTAGGCAACAATGATCCAACAACTGTAGTAATAATAACCAACCGACAGTGATTTGACGACAGTTGTCCCTCGACAACAGCGGGTAAACAACGATGGCCTGGTGGCGATGAATGTCGGGCAATTATGGTATGACAGTGATGACAACAACTCAAAATCGATGGTATGCCTATGGCGGCTGCTGCCTAATGACAGTGACAAGACACTGGCAACAATTGGGTTGCGGTGGTCCAACAGTGGTAGCAACCTGATGACAGTGACAGTGTCCAATGACGATGGCCTTATAGCGGCGGAGCTTGAGAATCCTCAAGACCTTGAAGCTCTCTTCATCCATCTCATCTAGGCCTCATTCTCATCTCATGAAAAGTGTGATGTTCTATTTATAGATTTTAGGATTGACATAGTTAGTAAATATTACATGAATTAATACCCTTGAGTGATTCCCTCGATCAAATAATATTTTATGAGCATTTGAGTGTCTTAGTGAAGTTACAATTAGGCAATATTGGGCTCGTTGGATTTGTCTGATTTTACCATAGGATTGTTGGATTTGAAGATCATTTGATGCCACAAAATATGTCATAAGGTTTCCTCTTATGCTTTGAGTGCATGATCTGAGCACACTTGGACTTAGATTAGATCATTTTTTATGTCATCTCATTTGTCTGTACCTTCATTTGAATTAGAGTACATGTAATTCCTGATTCGAATTTCGAAGCTTTTAGTCCAAATGTATGTCAAGATTAATGTGTGAAAGAGAATAATTAAGAGATTGTTTGAGAAATTTTATTTTTATTTTTGTTTTTTTTAAAACATATAGATTTGTTCTATTTTTTATGTATATGCAATACACATAGAAAGTTATTTAGGATTTTTTTAAAATAAATAAGTTTTCTTTCAAATCCAAATATAAATAAAATAAACAAATAAAAATAAAAGTGATAGCAAAAGCCTCACAATAATTCTCCTAGTATATCAATAAATAACATTATTCTATACCATTTTGATATCTTTCCCTTCTTTTATATAAATAAATTTGAGAAGATGCATCAATTCAACACTTAATGTTCTCCTAATCTTACACAAATTTGACATGTCATTCCTTTATTTTTTGTACTTTTTGTAATATAAATAAATAAATATCAATTTATCATTAATTGAATTATGCTCAATTTTTCTTATCATTTAAGGAGGTCAAATATGTCACAAACTCAAAATTCACTCTTTTTTTCTTTATCATGGAAGCATAATTGCATTCATTGCACTCAAAATTTTGTTATTTACAAAATTAGATCATTTTTGTATCACCTATGTATTGACTTGTCCTAAACCTTTCCATTAACCCAATTACAAATATATTCGTGAAAGAGTTGGAGTAGCTACAATGATCGAAAATATTAGAGAGGGCTGCCTTAGATGGCTTGCTCGCATCAAACAATGATTATCTGATGACTTATTAAGGAAAGTAGACGTCTTAGATTCAATTTACATCAAGAAAGGTAGAGGTAGACCTAAAAGGACTTGGGCATGTCGTATAAAAAATAATATTAATTTAATAGAGTTAAATACAAAATATTATGAAAATGTTCTTAATTTATTTTAAGTCAAATTTTAAAAATCACAGAATATTTGGGATAAGATTTGTAGGGCAATGGTAACATTTTTAATTTTTTATCTTTAATTTTTTTTTTTAGTTAGCAATGAAAATTAAATATAGAGCTTTTATATA